AAAAATCAAAATTATAAAACAATATTTTGAAATTTAATTTTTAATCTGCTAACCAGAATGCTTTGAAATGTTGCAGATGTTTTAAGGCTATAAAGAGCATCATAAATCTTTAGTCAAAAAATATTTGCTTATCCCCTCCAAAAACTTGATGACGTCAGCTCAAAAGTTTGTGGAATAAATCATATCTAAAATGTACAAAATATGATGAGTCTGTACTTGTGATCTATCACTCCAATCATATTTTTTGGATTTGCATATACAGGGTGACTCAAAATTTAATGAATGCGTAAATATATTTTATTGATTTAATCAGGAACTACAAAACCGAATGCTCTGAAATCTTGCAGATGTTTTAAGGCTATAAAGAGCATCATAAATCTTGAGTCAAAAAATATTTGCTTATCCCCTCCAAAAATTTGATGACGTCAGCTCAAAAGTTTGTGGAATAAATCATATCTAAAATGTACAAAATATGATGAGTCTGTACTTGTGATCTATCACTCCATTCATATTTTTTGGATTTGCATATACAGGGTGACTCAAAAAAATTAATGAATGCGTAAATATATTTTATTGATTTAATCAGGAACTACAAAACCGAATGCTCTGAAATCTTGCAGATGTTTTAAGGTCATAAAGAGCATAATAAATGTTTAGTCAAAATATATTTGCTTATCCCCTCCAAAAACTTGATGACGTCAGCTCGAAAGTTTGCCGAATAAATCATATCTAAAATGTACAAAATATGATGAGCCTGTACTTGTCATTTATCACTCCATTCATATTTTTTGGATTTGCATATACAGAGTGACTCAAAAAAATTAATGAATGCGTAAATATATTTTATTGATTTAATCAGGAACTACAAAACGGAATGCTCTGACATCTTGCAGATGCTTTAAGGTTATAAAGAGCATAATAAATGTTTAGTCAAAATATATTTGCTTATCCCCTCCAAAAACTTGATGACGTCAGCTCGAAAGTTTGCCGAATAAATCATATATAAAATGTACAAAATATGATCAGTCTGTACTTGTGATCTATCACTCCATTCATATTTTTTGGATTTGCATATACATGGTGATTCAAGAAAATAAATGAAAGCGTAAATTTATTTTACTGATTTACTCAGGAACTACAAAACCGAATGCTTCGAAATCTTGAAGATATTTTAAAATTATCATAACCATGGTAAATTTTTGATCAAAAATTATTTGGTCGTCCCCCCTAAAACATTTATGATGTCACCACAAAATTTTGCTGAATAAATCCTATCTAAAATGTACAAAATATGGTGAGTCTCTTCTTGTGATTTATCATTCCATTCAAATTTTTTCGATTTGCATATACAGGGTGACTCAAAAAAATTAATGAATGCGTAAATATATTTTATTGATTTAATCAGGAACTACAAAACCGAATGCTCTGAAATCTTGCAGATGTTTTAAGGCTATAAAGAGCATCATAAATCTTGAGTCAAAAAATATTTGCTTATCCCCTCCAAAAACTTGATGACGTCAGCTCAAAAGTTTGTGGAATAAATCACATCTAAAATGTACAAAATATGATGAGTCTGTACTTGTGATTTATCATTCCATTCATATTTTTGGATTTGCATATGCAGGGTGATTCAAAAAAATTAATGAAGGCGTGAATTTATTTTATCGATTTAATCAGGAATTACAAAACCGAATGCTTTGAAATCTTGGGAATATTTTAAAGTTATTATAAGCATGGTAAACTTTTGTTCAAAATGTATTTGTTCATCCCTCCTAAAAAAATGATGACGTCACCCTTAAATTTTGCTGAATAAATCCTATCTAAAATGCAAAAAATATGATGAGTTTGTACTTGTGATTTATCATTCCATTCATATTTTTTAGATTTTCTTAAGAGGTGGTTCAAAAAAATTAATGAAGTCAATTTATTTTATTGATTAAATTAAAGGCAACACTTATTATTATTATTACACCCCAACCAACCCAATTTGGTAGACACAAAATTTGTTAAAGGAAAAACTCGGTTGAAACATAAGGGTAGCACGCTTATTTACATCGACTTTAACATTACAGACCTGCATTTGTTTTATGCGGTCACTTGGTTCCGCGAATGCGAAATAGACATGTTTATAATCAACCAATTGTGAATTTCACCGTCAAGAATTAAAATAAAACGCAATGTTTTATATAATAAGCGGAAGTCGAAGCAATAAAACCGATGGTCGTTTTGTTTACAGTTTTTCTGTTTGACTCTCACGTATGCTGTTACGCTTGTCATCTTAAATTAAGAATGTTTATACATAAACGATTTTCAGTTGCCCCTCATATTACTAGACAGCGGATTTCTGTCGGGCTACGTCACGATTATAGGGGGGGACGTGCTGGATTCCATAAATATAATTAACGATTTATTAATCAAACGGCTAAGTAAATGAGAACGGGAATTAACAGCAGAGTGCAACGAAACAACGTTATCCTAATCTCAAATAAACGAAGTGCAGTCCGCAACGGCAATGAATTCGCATCCCGTGCGAGCCGTACCGAGTTTGGCCTTGCCTAGCCCGACAGAAATCCGCTCTCTAGATATTACACACCGGCGCCGTATACGTGAGTAAATTGTTTCGTTATTTTTGTTGATTATAAGAAATCAATATTCAAAACGACCCAATTCATTTTCCCGAAAATTTGGGAACACAATAATTTTATTCTTAGTATTACAATACATCTATCCCAACTGATATACGTGTCCTTGCAAAAATGTTGATGACGTCATCACAATTTTTTTTTAAATTCCCACTACAAAAATGTAATGAGAAAAAAAAACATAATAGGCATGCAGTCGTCAAGTTTCCGACAGCGAGGGAAGTACTGTCTAAACTCTTTAGACCAATTTTTTTTCTCACTGTTAATATCATATAATGTATCGAAAACAACCACAAAAATTGTCACAAAAAACATTTAAAAATTCATACAAAATAGAACACAGTGTTTCCAAAACATTTTCCCGAAACAAATCCATTGGGTTATTACGATTTCAACAATATTCTTAGTTTAAGACGTTTCGCTAGTATAAAACACAAATAAAGAATTAATTCTTAGTTAAACAAAATATGTAAAATCATCTAAATATGTACAAAAAATATTCACTTAGTCGTTATAAAACCGACCAAACAACTATTTCCCGCAGAAATTATAGTCCAAACCAATCATATGGCTTCTGAACGCTTAGAGTCGACATTGACCTGAGCGCGCTCTGGTCTGCAGATCAAACAAGTTCTCAGGCGACGAGTTGTAGTGAAATAAGTTTTTTTATTGGTATCGACTATTTAAATTTGGCGCTTGCCTTTGGCGGTTGAGGACTCCAATGTCAATAAGGGTGGTTTTGCAAAATCAGGCTGTATGTCGCATCTATATTAATCTATGCTAGGAGCATAGGACAGGTAGACGAAAGATAAAACGTATTTAATACATTTGTACAGATTTACATAAATTATGAATAAGTTTAGGTTGATCACGTGATTTTGTGGAAACGGTTGTTCCTACACTCTAATCCATTCCTTTTCAAATAATGAGTATGTAATTGTAATGCATTCAAAAAATGTAATGAGTAATTGTAACGAATTACGTTTTTGGGTAATTCAGTCATTTTTAGAATGACTTTTTGCAATTACTTTTAACCAAAATACTCAAAAATATTTTTCTCTACGATCGTTTACCTGTCCTGCCGAAATCATACCAAAGAGAAGATTAACCCAGTAAGGAGTTAAAATCTAAAACGAGTTTAGGACAGTATTTGTTAAGAAACCAGGTAAGCATAATATAAAGTATGACAAAAGATAATTGCAAACGCCGTCAATTACTTTATGAGGGGTCTTTAGTTCTTTGGACCGTTACCTGCAATAAAACCATTACGAACCCTTCACATCGAACGTCCATATATAAATCATGGTAGAGTTAATTTTTATTGGGATTTTTCTAGGAAATATGTATTTGCAAAGATTTAAGAAGTTTCATGTGTCCTTAAATTTTAAGATTAAACTCCTTGGAAGCGGTCCGTTTAACAATCTACCTGTTCACGTATTGAAACAAATACGATCCTGAAAAGGTAAGGGTGGCGAGTAATCCTGATTGACAGTTTTATACTGTGCACTTTCCAAAGTAGTCGGAAATTTTACAGCTGCAATTCCCATAATTGGGGTCATTTGCAAATATCTTTCGTCGTATAACACATACAAACTTCTGCCCAAGTTTTTGCCAAAAGTATACGTCCGATTGTAATAAGCTTCACACCGTTCAAATGAGAGTAAAAAACCCTACCCAGATTACGTTTCCGTTTTTTAAATTTTGTTGTCAAAAAAAAACTACAACGCGTTAAAATTGTGATGAGTGGGATTATCTGGTTTTCGCTATTTATGGATCAATTTTAAATTTTCAGAAAGGTACAATAGTAGAAATTGTATTAAAAAATCCATTGCGCTTTGCAGAAATAAAATATGTTAATAAATAATTGGCTAAACAAGGGCAGAATATTTCAAATTTGTGGTCAAACAAACTTTAGCCATTTTTCTAGTCCACTCAAATCCACAACAGGTAACCGATAGAACCCGTCCTTTTAAACCCCTCATAATTCGCCAATAAAATTTTATGAGAGTGTCCACCCTTTAAGGTTTTCGAAATTTAATCTGTAAGTCACAAAGCCAAGTAAGAGGCAATTTAAAGACAGATTTTTAAGTTTACATTATCTTATAGCCCCCTTCTAAGTATTTAGGAATATCCGTTTTGAAATCTCTCACCTATACAAATTTTTGCTTAACAGTTGTTGCAGTTGGCATCGAAATTATGCATAAAAAAATCAGCTTTTCAATTTTTGGTAAAATATGAACGTCATATGACAGTTCAGAAAACTTATACATATACTTGTTAAAACGACTCTATTACATTTTTTTAACTATCGCTCAAAAGTAGTTATACGCATGAACAAATTTAACACATAGAAAAAACTTGTCATATCAACAAAAAATCTTTAATTTAAAACACAGTTCCAACAATCAACTTTAATTACAGAAGTCTAATCTGATAATAACGGATCCTCATCTTTAACTTCCTGAACTGACCCATTGGTGATTTGTTCTGTTTTAATTCTAATAGTCCCTAATGATGGTTCATCTGTATCTTCTGCCATGCTTTCTAAAGTTACAATTTTTGAAAATCTGATAATGTTTAATAATAATCATATAGTTGTTACCTTTGGCTTCATTAGGTTTTTTGGTTTTATTTTTTCGAGGGCCCCTTCTCAAGTCTTGTATTTTCTCATTTAAAATTTTCTTCATACTTTTTACTACAAATTCCTCCTGTACTTTACCAACTCCTTTCTCCTGCAGTCTGTACCTTAGTATATCTATAGCACAAATACAATTCATAAAAACTATGTATAATAGATAAATTAAAATATTTATATTCCTACCTTTCATTGCAAGTAATTTTTTTGCATCCAATGCTGGTCTTCCAGCTTCTCGCGTTCTATTGGCTGATCCTCCAAATAATGAAGATCTTTTTAAAACGTCTTCACCAAAAAGTGCAACAGCTAGTTCTTTAATAAATATTGTGTCTTTTTTCTTTCTGTATATATTGTCAAACATGATTTGTGGTAACCAAATCCCCTTCCCTACGTGTACCTAAAACATAAGAATTAAAAATTCATTGATATTGTTTAAATAAAATATTAACAAACATTGCCCCCTCTTCTTTCAGCGATTGCCGCCTTACGATCTGTGTGTTCACCGTGCGTTTTACCATTCATAACATTAATATTTGTTAAAACTTCATCCAAAGCTAAAATTTATAACTTAACAAATATTTAAATTAACTATAGAAATATTTAATTTACCTTGAAATTTCCCTATTACTTTAAGTTGTAATTCTGTATTAAGACGACATAGTTCTTTATTTTCAATTTCTAGTTCTTTGATTTTCTTTTCTTTTTCCTCAACTATTCTTTTCATTAAAGTAAACGTGTGATATGCACTATCTAAACTCATAATGTTTTCGTCGGCATTTCTGTTATGACGTTCTGTTTCTTTTAATTTTAAGTTCTACGTAAAAATCGAAAACTTCTTACTTTTAGACATTATTTCAAACGTAATTATTTGATACCTGATTATGACTATCGCTGTGATCGTTTGTGTTGCACTTGTTTTCAACAACTAAACATCTACTGACAAGTCGCAACCGTTTCGACATAGCTAGTTTTGTTGCCTCTTCAGGGGATGCTAAAATGTGACAGGTCTGAGAAAGCATAATTAAATAATTAAATTAAAATTTAAAAATGTACAATCCATAATGTCGCATCGCCCGTCGAAGTGAAATTCCAATCACAAAAGGACACAGATCATAGAAAAAATATTGAATGTATTAATTACCGCATCGTTACCATGATACATTTGGATAATATTTATTCTTTTGATGCAAAAGAAGAAACCCCAATTTTACAAGAAACGGAGTTTTTTTAAACTACAATATTACTTGGAAATTTAAAATATTTTGTGTAAATCGGAAACAAGCTTTTAAAATATGAAACAAATTAATTTAAGTTATAAAATAGAAAACAATATTCAAGAGAGTAAAGTTTCTTTGATGATATTTGTTAAAACCTGATCCGCGAATGTTCTGATATTTTACAACATTCATCAAACCATTTTACTTACCAGCAACACTTAACACATGTGCTTTATAATAACAACCATCCTTATGTTTCACTTCATATGTTTTAGAACTCTCATAAATTCCATCATCATCATAATCATCATCAGATTTTTGTATTTCATCTAAATGAACAATATCTGTGGATCCGTCCTCTACAAATTTAACGCAAGCAAACATTCTTACGCTAAAATAAAAAAAATAAATAAATAAAACAATACACATTGTGTAGGTACACATTATATGTAGATAAACCCTTGCATCAAATGAGCGAGGTTGTAGGTTAGAAGGCATTGTAACGCCTTCACAACTAACGACAAATTTTCAAAATATCATTATCAATTAATTAATATGAGAACAAATAATATACCTTAATTCACAAAAGAGCAACAAACGAGGTAAAAACCCGTGCAAAAGCTAGCACTTTACTAATCACAGCGATTACGAAATGGGAAATGGCGACGGGACAAGGTTATTTTATGGTTTATTCCATTCATGGAAATTTCCATATCAACCATTAGAGCAGAGGTTACCGCATATCAGTGGCGTAGATAACGGTGCTCTTTAAGAACAATTATATTTCACCGAGATAAATAACATTTAGATACAAATTTAGAAAAAAGATTCGATTAAAATGAAAAATTAGGAAACTGTATGTACAGGTGTTCTAGAAGTTAAATGAAATTTCTCGCTTTAAATTGCATATAGTCAACTTTTTCTTTTACGTTAATTTTTTTTATTTTTTTTATTATTATTTTTTTTATTTTGTGATTTAACTCATATGGTTTAAGCCTTTAAAACATTTTCTGAATAACAGCATTTCTGTTTATCTGTTTTACTCACGTAAGTTTATCTTAGAATTTTAATGGAAATTTCTTTTCTCGTTTCTTTTCTCATTTCTCGACATTCTTGAGATACCAGAAACATGGTTTCTCTAAATGAAAATTTTTTTATTTTCCACTATTTATTGGTCGAGAGAAATAGGTTTCCGTTTCCATCTGTCTGCCTGTCTGTCTGCCGTCCCGATTTTTTTATTTTTTTATTTTTTTTTTTTTCAATATTTTAAATCACTTAAGCAAATTTTTTTTGCAACAGTTAAAATATACTCGCGTCATTAGTAAAAAGATTGTTATTTCTGGAAATTCCGGTATCGAGGTATGTACAACACTTATTTCAGAGAATTTTGCGTAGATTAAAGAAATTTTATTTTTTCAAAGCATTAAAACATTATAGTAAGGTAAGTAAACTGAGAGGTCGTAACTTAAAATTTTTTTATCAGACAAATGCGTATAAAATACACCACTGAAAAAATACAAAGTAATCTATTAAACTCCTTTATCAAAGTAAATTATACTCATTTTGTATCACTTTTTGTGTTCATTTACCATGCCAAATTTGAAATTTCTACCTTTTCAAATAGATGAAGTATTTTCCCGAGCGTATGCTAAGGAAGTATAGTATTAATCGAGTCCATCGGACGAATAGCTACTTTTATAATTTCTCGACGTTTCATTACCCCAAGAGTACGAAAAATGTAGTCTCCCGCTCCGTCTGTTTGTCTGTCTGTCTGTCTGGACTCTGTATGTATTTTTATTGGACACGTAATCTCCGAAACTGCTGAACCGATTGTTGTCAAATTTTGTATGTATGTTAAAAATATCATGTATTGTAGATGGTTAAATGCTAACCATAATTTTGTTAATCATCCCCACCAACAATTTGATGACGTCATTTCAAAGAATTCTAAGTTTATTTGATTTAACTGTTATAAATACTACAACAAAATATTCCTATAAGTGTGGTGTACGAATCCGCTTTGAGTTTTTCCCTAACCGTCGAAATTTTTTCAAAAACATAACACACGGTAGAATAACAGTTTATCATTAGCGTAAAGGATCTCGGTCGTGGTCTAGTGTTTATGAGCCAGAAATGCGAACCAAACGTCGCGCGTTCGATTCCAAACTTGGCCTTTCTTTTTTTTTCCTTCTATGTTTGTGACGTCATAACAGATTTTTTATTGATGAAATTATCCCACTTTCTCTAAACGGTGAGAATAAGCCCCCCGTTATTTAAAAATGTAAAACCTTTGCGGTGGAGCCAACTGCCTTTTTTAAAAATGTAAAGCCTTGTCTGGGGCCCCAAATGTCTTTTTTTAAAAATGTGAAACCTTCTCGGAGGTTCCAACTATCTTTTTTAATAATGTAAAATCATCTCTGGTGTCCCAAATGTCTTTTTTAAAAATGTAAAACGTTCTCGAGGGTCTCAACTGTCTTTTTTAAACATGTAAAATCTTCTCGGGGGTCCCAACTCTCTTTTTTAATGTGAAACCTTCTCGGCGGTCCCAAATGTCTTTTTTAAGAATGTGAAACCTTCTCGGGGCTCCCAACGGTCTTTTTTAAAACTGTAAAACCTTTTCGGAAGTCCCAACTGTCGTTTTTAAAAATGTAATACCTTCTCAGGGGCGCCAAATGTCTTTTTTTATGTGAAACCTTCTCGGGGGTCCCAAATGTCTTTTTTAAAAATGTAAAACCTTCTCAGTGGCGCCAACTGTCTTTTTTAAGAATATAAAACCTTCTCGGGGGTTATTGTGTTTTTTAAAAATGTAAAACCTTATCGGGGGTCCGAAATGTCTTTTTTAAGAATATGAAAGTTTCCCGGTGGCGTCAAGTGACTTTTTAAAAACGTAAAACATTCTCGGGGGTCCCAAATGTTTTTTTTTTTTTAATGTAAAACCTTCTCGAGGGTCCCAACTCTCTTTTTTAAGCATTTAAAAACCTTCTCGGGGGCGCCAAATGTCTTTTTTTAATGTGAAACCTTCTCGGGGGTCCGAACTGTCTTTTTTAAAAATGTTAAACCTTCTCGGGGGTCCCAAATGTCTTTTTTAAGAATGTCAAACCTTCTCGGAGGTCCCAACTGTCTTTTTTAAAATTGTAAAACCTTCTCGGGGGCGCCAAATATCTTTTTTAAGAATATGAAATCTTCTCGGGGCTCCCAACTGTGTTTTTTAAAAACGTAAAAGCTTCTCGGGGGTCCCAAATGTCTTTTTTTAATGTGAAACCTTCTCGGGGGTCCCAACTGTCTTTTTTAAAATTGTCAAACCTTCTTGGGGGCGCCCAATGTATTTTATAAGAATATGAAACCTTCTCGGGGGTTATGGTGTTTTTTAAAAATGTAAAACCTTATCGGGGGTCCGAAATGTCTTTTTTAAGAATATGAAAGCTTCCCGGTGGCGTCGAGTGACTTTTTTAAAAACGTAAAACCTTCTCGGGGGTCCCAAATGTCTTTTTTAAAAATGTAAAACCTTCTCGAGGGTGCCAACTCTCTTTTTTAAGCATGTAAAAACCTTCTCGGGGGCGCCAAATGTCTTTTTTAAAAATGTAAAACCTTCTCGAGGGTCCCAACTCTCTTTTTTAAGCATTTAAAAACCTTCTCGGGGGCGCCAAATGTCTTTTTTTAATGAGAAACCTTCTTGGGGGTCCCAACTATCTTTTTTAAAAATGTAAAACCTTCTCGGGAGTCCCAACTATTGTTTTTAAATGGAATACCGTCTCAGGGGCGCCAAATGTCTTTTTTAAGAATATGAAACCTCCTCGGGGGTCCCAACTGTCTTTTTTAAAAATGTAAAACCTTCTCGGGGGTCCCAAATGTCTTTTTTAATCCCAACTGTGTTTTTTTACGAAGGTAAAACTTTCTTTTTTCTCTATTACACTGTGACTAATACCTTCTATATTGTTTTTACTCCATAGAGGTTATCACAAAAAAGTAAAATTCCGCAAAATCAAATTTTATAATTTTTCAAAGAAGCAATATTTGTTGAACGGTTTCTTCAGAATCGAGGGAAGTTCTGTCGAAATAACTTTTTTTTGAAGAACTGGACAAACCAAGTTGCTTATATGTACTGTATTTAACAAGCTAGAAAATACATATTATATATTCAATTCAAAAAAATTGACGTCATTTCCTAAAAAAGTAAATGTGATTAATGCTGGTCGTGTACATCTATTTTATAGGTTTATTTGTGTGTTAACCGTTCTAAATTTCAGACTTCCACTTTTTCAAATAAATGAGATATTGACAAATGTCGAAATTCAAGGTTCGTTTGTATAAAAAAATATACGTCTGCTGGAGATGGAATAATCACTACATGAAATTTTAACTGCATTTGGGTTATAGAACGTTAACCAAAACTTGTACTCTTATCCCTTTCAAAATTAGATGACGTCATCTCAATTTCATTGAAGAGAGATAATCAGATAATAGTTATTTATATTATGATGATATAAGTCAAAGATATAAGTGTTAAAAGTGAAATTTTAATTTGTGGCTGTGGAAATTTTGGGAACCAACCACACAAACAAAATAAAATCACTTTTCCGACGATCGTTTATTAATGTGAAAATTACGAACAAATTTGGTGTTCAAAATTGATCAATAATGAGACCCATTATTCAACGATTAAAATGTCAGTGTATTGTTGGTTGCATACCAATCTAATAAAGTTTGTTATTTCAATTTCAAAGTTTTTTAAAATTAGTGCGATATTTAAAAGTTGAATCAACAGGGTGTTTTTTAATCAAAAATGTATTGTGAAACAAATTTAAATAACATAAACTCGACAGAAATGTCAAAGGTGTTGTTGGTTGCATACCAATTTAATAAAAATCTATGGATTCATGTTTTCGAAAATTACAATCGTCGAAAAAATATTGTAATCATCGCGATAGATATTGGCGATTAACCATCTCGCCTATTTTTGCTCGATCGTTAATCGCTGTCATTACCCAACTAGTTGATTAAATAACTATTATGTGTCTCATATACCATATGTATTTTAATAAAATGATTGTAGGACTCTTTTTTACTTTCGAGTGTAAGCTAAGGAAATATAGTAACCCAGTCCATCGGACGAATTGCTACTTTCATATTTTCTCGGCGTTTCATGACCCCGAGAGTATGAAAAAAGTGATCTCTCGTTTCCGTCTATCTGTCTGTCTGGCGTCTGTATCAATTTTTATTAGAGACGTAATCCGAAATCACCGGACCGATTTAGTTAATCATCCCTACCAACAATTTGATGATGTCATTTCAAAGAATTCTATTTTAAAATGATTTACATGTTCTACAACAATATACTTCTACATTTGTGGTTTACGAATCCGCTTTGAGTTTTTTCCCTAAACATCCAAATTTTCGCGAAAGAAAACACACTACAGTCGACCAATTTTTTGAAACGGTTTTCGATTGCTTAAAAAATAACACATGGTAAATAAAAAAAAATAAAAAATAAATTTAAATCATCTTTTCAGTTGTCTCAGAGGTAGAGACTCTTTGTTTTTACTTCCTGAATGTAACCTAAGGAAGTACATATGTATTATATTCCACTCGGTGAATGGCTTCTTTCTTGTTTTTTTGGCGTTACATGACCCCTGAAGTCTACTGTGCCTGAAGTCTTATCGAATTATGATTATGAATATCGTGTAAGTGGTAAAACGTTAACCAACTAAACTTGTGGGTTTTAAATTTTATAAAATAACATACTTCTACACGTGTAGTTTAGGAGATATCCAGATTTTTGGAAAAAAAAAACAAAATTGTGTAACAATATTTTGTAATTTAAGTTTAAAACTGCAAAGCGAAATACTTTGAAATCTTGCAGACGTTTTAAAGTTATCGTAAGTGTGGTAAATTTTTAATCAAAATATATCTGTTTATCGTTTTATCAGTGAATCGTAATTTTAAATCTCCAACAATAACGTCATCCCTGTTTCATCAGGGTTCTTTTCCCCCTCCTAACGAGCCGTTCTGGCAACGCCGTACGCATTTATTATGCGCATGCGCATAGTTGCCTCTGTTCTGCAGGTTTGCAAATTTTGGCAACCGTGTTATTATTAACCTGTTCGTGTTCCAAGTTACTAGACTCGACAAAAGTCACCGGTTTGATTGACTTTTTGTTTTGCGGGTTCTTTAAACAAAATACATCAAAACCTCTATTTTAATCCGTGCATTCTACTTATCACGTTTGATTTTCTGTTGCGTACCGCCATACCGGGTATATTTCCCAAAAATTAGCGATAATTCGTTAAAGCAGTGTCGTGTAGCGTTTCTTTTGTAAGAAAAAAACCGCATCAGAATGTCTGACGATTGGAACGATAACGCTAGATTTGTTATTCCACAAGTCCAAACACAAGTTTTCACCAACAGCAACGACTATGGACGTTCGAATTGGCGCGACAGACCCCAACGTAAGTACCAAGACAAGAGTAATCCAAGAGAAGACAGAAGAAATGGTTACAGAGGTGGCGGTAATCGGTTTGATGGTAACCGTTTTGATGGTAACCGGGCCCCCAGAAGGCCCAACGACGACGCCACCATCATTAAAGTACCCTCAAAATTTGTCGGTCGAATCATTGGCAGGGGAGGATCAAAAATTAGCGATCTTCAGTTTGAGTCAGGGGCCAGAATTAACGTAACTAAAGACGTGGAAGGCGACGAGACGCTTATCAGACTCATTGGAGACGATGAAGCCGTTTCTAAGGCCGAAAGTTTAATACGAGAGTTGACCATTGAAAGAGATAACTTTGAGAATCGAAGTGTACCTCTAGAGCAAAAGCCCCCTTTAGAAGAACCTACGTTTGTGGAACCCCCAAAACAAATTAATTGGAGAGCTGTCTTCGAGGAGTCCGTAAGTTATTACATTTCTTAGTTGCATAGAATGATAAAAAAAATTTGAAAGTTAGGTTTTTAATGTGTTTTTGTATCGAGGTAGTTATTTAAAAAGTTGGGTCAATAAATTAGCAAGGATAGAAAAAAAAAATACATAAAGTAATTTTAATTGAGTGAACAAAATCGTAATCAGAGTTATTTATTTATAGTGATATATAATGTAGTATTTGCACTAGTCCAAAATATGGTATTTTTAAAAATTATCAACAAAAGTGATCAAGATTTTTACAAACGCACTAAAATTAGTAGATGCATTTTCTTAATTCTGTTTAATGTAACTTGCTGACGTTAACTTTTTTTTGGCAAATTCAGATTTCTTATCCATTAAAAATCTTTTTTCATAAATGCATATAACGTCACATGATTTTTTTTTTAATATGATGGTACAACTTTTAGGTGAAATTTAAATTTATCCTTTAAAGTCACGTCATCACATCTCATACCTATTTTATATTAGATTGTGTTAAAATGATTTAGGCAATATGTTGAACAACAACATTATTGAAAAAGTTTTTGGTAAATAAATATTTTTAAATTTAAATTCGTTATGGTATAACAAATTTTCCATGGATGATATTTTGAACAAAATGGTTTTTGCGAGTCCTTTCCTTATCTAAGTAACGCCCACTCGATACTTGTTTACAATTTTCAACTTCCAAAATCTTCACCAGCTGTTCAAGTGGTGATAACATTATCATTCGGTATTCGTTTTTGAACCCTTCTGGAAATTACCAGGTAAACCAACCAACCCAAAACCGATTTATGGAAACCCAACGGTCCCACATCGGGGATTAGGCCGCAATAAACTGAAAGAATTCTTAGAAAGTTAATTTTAATTTCACTAAAATTTTATTGCCTGTGCAGTTAAGACGGTAATTACCGTCTTAAGTAGGCCCTAACTAATCCTGTACTATTGGCAGGTAGAATCCCCTGTGCAGTACTTTTAAAATTTTAGCGCGACTTTAATATTTGAAACTCATATTTTGTTTTCTATATTACTTTTTCCTTGAGGAGCGAGCTGTTTTTGACTCACCCTGCATATGTTCATAATGATTAATAAAGATCAGTTTGGAGTCAAACAGTACTCCTAACTCAAAACCAAAAATTTTGAAACAAAAAATCTTCATGACATTTCATTCAGTTATTATTTTATTAGTTAGTTTATTTAGTTATTTCTATTTGATTAGCTATTTTGTAAATAGGACAAATCGATATTTCGTGATTTTGACAATATATTAAAAATTTTGCTGTTTTGCCCAACCTCTCATCAGGTTATAAAATTGTAATTAGTACAAAAATAACGTTCTGAATATACTGAAAAGTAAAGTAGGGTCCGTTAAATAGCGAACATTAACTTTCTGTGTATTGGAAGCCACCAATAAACCTGTTAGGATTAGGGTAATGATGATAATTTACAGCCCTGACCTCCTGTCCGAGTGCTTGCCTGAAAGAAACAAAGCTTCTGTGAATCAGACGAGATTAGAAATTTTAGCTTAAAGCGTCCGATGTCTGATTCGCAAAACCTTTGATGCTTTGGGACAAGCAACCCAAAAGCAGGCAAGCGTTATAAATCATCACCATTATAATCCTGGCAGTTTATTGGAGGCTTCTAATAAGCATTCTTGGAAACAGAGAGTCAACATCTGGCGGACTCTACTTTAAATTGATTCTATGATCGTTTTAGAATAGTTTTATGTTGGGTGGCACTTGAATTACGTACAGTATAAAGCTGAAAATTTCGTGTTATCTAAAGTTACATAAACAACAAAAGTTTCCTGTTGTGCTGTAACTGTAAATTCACAATTTATTAATGACTGTTTTATTTGAATTATTACATATATTTACAGGATGCGCATGAAGCGGCTCAGTGGGCGTCTTTACCCCCAATTAAAAAGGAGTTCTACAATGAACATCCCGAAGTGACAGCTATGTCAGATGAACAAGTGGCAACATTCCGCGAGGAAAATAACAACATCGTTGTCGAAAGGACTTTCAAGTCGGCCACAAGCAAGCCAGTGCCAAAACCGGTGGTAACGTTCGATCAAGCGTTTTATCAGTACCCCGAGATATTGAAAGAAATAGAAAAGGCAGGGTTTACTACACCTTCGCCAATTCAGAGTCAAGCTTGGCCGGTTTTATTGAGTGGTGAAGATCTTATTGGCATTGCACAGACTGGCACTGGCAAAACATTGGCATTTCTGTTACCAGCTTTGGTACATATCGATGGACAGTGTATTACGAAGGTTGAGCGTAGAGGACCTGCTGTATTGGTGATGGCACCAACGAGGGAATTGGCGTTACAGATTGACAAGGAAGTGAAGAAATACGAATATAAGGGAATTACAGCGTAAGTTTTTCTTTATTATTTTTTTCTCAGTTAATAACTCGGTAAAAGTAGACCTTAACTGTAAGCAGATTGCTTCCTTACAGATGATTGTTCTGTTTATCTAAAGAATACAAAATTTTCATCAATTCCTCTAGTCAAATTTCTAAGAAGTATAAGTTTAACTTTTTCTTGCAGTCTTTTTAATCTTAAACGTTTTTTTTTTGTTATATTATTTGCCATAAGATTTATTTTTCCGTTTAAAAGACGAAAAATGAGAAAACGGGTGGGTGGTTGGAGCTAAGTTTAATTTTTTCTTACGGAGTCTTTTATAAGCAAGCAACAGTTCCGCTCGCCCACCCCCTCTTCATTCCAATGAATACTCTTAATATTGTTCAGCTAATTACCAAAATCAATCTTATCTTAGCAAATACTAGCCCCGCCCACCCGCCCTCTCTTTTCTTACATACTTATTCATTTTATCGAGATAAAACCAATCATTGAAATCGAGGCGGGATAGGTGGGCGGTGTTAATTATATGTTCTTTTGTGGAATGGCAATGGGAAGAACATAGGTTGCTAAACAAAAAGAAAAAAAGCGCTAATCGTAATTATTTTTGTTATATTATTTGCCATAAGATCTATTTTTTCTTTTAGAAGACGAAAAATGACATAACGGGTGGGTGGGTCGGGCTAGGTTTAACTTGTTCTGACGTAATCTTATAAGCAAGCAATAGCTCCGCCTACCACCCCCCCTTCATTCCAGTGATTACTCTTAGTATTGTTCAGCCATTTAGCAAAATCGATCTTATCTTAACAATTACTAGCCCCGCCCACCCGCCCTCTCTTTTCTTAGAGTGTGTAAAATTTGCCACAGTCAGTCTTATCTTAGCAAGTACTAGCTACTCCCATCTCCGCTGATCTCATTTTAATGATTTTGCCATAAGATTTATTTTTTATTTTAGAAGACGAAACATGAAAAAACGGGTGGGTGGGTGTAATGTGACTCGATCTTGAAATGTGTGGCAATTAGTAACTTTTATGAAATAGAAATATATCTGTGTCCTTGTTATGCTCCGTCTTTTCGACAGCAGGTATTTTTTGCTTCCAGTATGGCGATCCTGTTACTGTCATTTGGCCGTCAATTGCCTTGGTGGTAACACGTCTTCCACGACTGTTTGCTGGTTACCGGTGACACTTTCTCGTTGAATAGAGCTGGAGTTACTTTGGGACTGGAATAGTGTTCTTTCCGGTCCGTTAACTCAATAATTCTAGTACAGTCTGTCGTAACCTCAAATCGTAAACACATCAACCTTTCGTTGACAGATAGCGAAAATTACTAACCTCGCGCTATCTTTGTTTAACACATAGGTTAGGTTCCTCTCTGTCGAATTCCGACCACAGGCAGTTTGCCGTACTTTCTAAAAGTAATAGTAGATCTAGTGACTTTAGGTGGGTGGGCCTAAGTTTAACTTTTTTTGCAGAGTCTTTTATAAGCAAGCAATAGCTCCGCCCATCCACCCCCTCTTCATTCCAGTGATTACTCTTATTATTGTTGAGCCAATTACCAAAATCAATCTTATCTTAACAAATACTAGCCCCGCCCACCCACCCTCTCTTTTCTTAGAGTGTATGTAATTTGCCATAGTCAGTCTTATCTTAGCAAGTATCATTCTAACAATTTTATTTCTGTTCAGTATAAGGTCCGCCTTTCATTCTGTCGAGATAATACCAATCACTGAAATCGAGGCGGGGTAGGTGGGCGGTATTAATTATATGTTCCTTTGTAGAATGGCAATGGGAACTAATAGAACGTGGGTTGCTAAAAAAAGAAAAAAAGCGCTAATCGTAATTTGTTTGTTATATTATTTGGCATAAGATCTATTTTTTCTTTTAGAAGACAAAAAATGACATAACTGGTGGGTGGGTGGGGTTAAGTTTAACTTTTTCTGACGGAATCTTATAAGCAAGCAATAGCTCCGCCTACCACCCCCTTTTCATTCCAGTGAATACTCTTATTATTGTTGAGCCAATTACCAAAATCAATCTTATCTTAACAAATACTAGCCCCGCTCACCCACCCTCTCTTTTCTTAGAGTGCATATAATTTGCCACAGTCAGTCTTATCTTAGCAAGTACTAGCTCCGCCCACCCCCGCTGTTCTCATTCTAACGATTTTATTCCTGTTCAGTATAAGGTCCACCTTTCATTTTGGCGAGATAAAATGAATCTCTGAAATGTAGGCGGGGTTAATTACATGTTGTTTTGTAGAGTGGGAGTAGAAACTAAAAGAATGTAGGCTGCAAAAAAAAAGAAAAAAAACTCTAATCGTAATTTTTGTTATTATACTGTTTGCCATAAGAATTATTTTTTCTTTTAGAAGACGAAAAATGAGAAAACGGGTGGGTGGGTGGGGCTAAGGGTAACTTTTTCTTACGGCGTCTTTTATAAGCAAGCAATAGCTCCTCCCATCCACCCCCTCTTTATTCCAGTGATTACTCTTAATATTATTCAGCCAATTACCAAAATCACTCTTATTTTAACAAGTACTAGCCCCGCCCACCCACCCTCTCTTTTCTTAGAATGTGTGTAATTTGCAACAGTCAGTCTTATCTTGTCAAGTACTAGCTCCTCCCACTCCCTCTGTTCCCATTCTAACGATTTCATTTCTGTTCAATATTAAGGTCCACCTTTCATTCTGGCGAGATACAATGAATCTTTGAAATGTAGGCGGGGTATGTGGGAGGGTTTAATTATATGTTCTTTTATAGAGTGGTAATGGAAACTAATAGAGCGTAGGTTGCTAAAAAAAGAAAAAAAGCGCTAATCGTAATTTTTTTTTGTTATATTATTTGCCATAAGAATTATTTTTTCTTTTAGAAGACGAAAAATGAGAAAACGGGTGGGTGGGTGGGGCTAAGGGTAACTTTTTCTTACGGCGTCTTTTATAAGCAAGCAATAACTCCTCCCATCGACCCCCTCTTCATTCCAGTGATTACTATTAATATTGTTCAGCCATTTAGCAAAATCAATCTTATCTTAACAAATACTAGCCCCGCCCACCCACCCTCTCTTTTCTTAGAATGTGTGTAATTTGCAACTGACTGTTGCAACTACTACTAGTACTAGCTCCTCCCACTCCTTCTGTTCTCATTCTAACGATTCATTTCTGTTCAGTATAAGCTCTACCTTTAATTCTGGCGAAATAAAATCAATCACTGAAATGGAAGCGGGGTAGGTGGGCGGTGTTAATTATATGTTCTTTTATAGAGTGGTAATGGAAACTAATAGAGCGTAGGTTGCTAAAAAAAGAAAAAAAGCGCTAATCGTATTTTTTTTTTTGTTATATTATTTGCCATAAGAATTATTTTTTCTTTTAGAAGACGAAAAATGAGAAAACGGGTGGGTGGGTGGGGCTAAGTTTAACTTTTTCTTATGGCGTCTTTTATAAGCAAGCAATAGCTCCTCCCATCCACCCCCTCTTCATTCCAGTGATTACTTTTAATATTGTTCAGTCATTTAGCAAAATCAATCTGACCTTAACAAATACTAGCCCCGCCCTCTCTTTTCTTAGAGTGTATGTAATTTGCCACAGTCAGTCTTATTTTAGCAAATACTAGCTCCGCCCACCCCCGGTGTTCCCATTCTAACGATTTTATTCCTGTTCAGTATAAGGTCTACCTTTCATTCTGGTTAGATAAATCACTGAAATGGAGGCGGTGTAGGTGGGCGGGGTTAATTATATGTTCTTTTGTATAGTGACAATGGGAACTAATTGAACGTAGGCTGTTTATTTTTTTATAAGCTAAATAACAAAATTAGAAATATACAGGGTTAGTATAAAGTCCCGGAACGGTCGAATAACTTTGTTATTATGACAGACAGGGCTGCCTACTTTTTTTATGGAACATTTTACAATAGTAGGTATTTTTTGTGATTTTTTTTTCTATTTTTTATATCAGTAGAAATAAACATGTTGAAAATTTCTGAAATTAGTTTTTATTCTGCATCAGAAAATGTCAAAAAAAAAGGGAAAAATGTTGTAATCAAGTGGCCATGTTTAACTATAAATCCACACAAAATTTCCAAAAAAAACTTTTCAAATAACAAAGTTATTCAATCGTTCCGGGACTTTATACTAACCCTGTATAACAACAAACAAGGTCACCGTGAACAAGGGTGACTCAAAGGCAAATTGTCAAAAATCCATGTCTGTCTTTGATCATACTTTTTATTACTCTGTCGGTATTATTTGTCTTCTTTCATAATTATAATTATTTTCTACTTTATGTTAATAACAGTTATGCTATGGTTTGAATGAATTCATGCTTAAAACTGTCAGATTTTATACAATTTTTAGAACAATGCAACTTAAATAATCTTGAAAACCTACATCGTCCCACATCACTTAAGTACGGTCGTGGACAGTGAATTTGCAATAACTCCTCCACAACTACTACTAGATTTTCTAATTGTTAATATAATTCTGTTTTGTTACAAATGTTTTGTTTTTCTTTGAACAGGGTTTGCGTTTATGGCGGTGGAAATCGCAGAGAACAAATCAAAGTAGTCACCGACGGTGTCGACATCGTAATTGCTACCCCCGGTCGATTAAACGACCTCGTTGAAGCAGGTCACTTAAACGTCAAGTATGTGACATACGTGGTTTTGGATGAGGCAGACCGCATGCTGGATATGGGTTTTGAACCACAGATACGCAAAGTGATGTACAGTATACGCCCCACCAGACAGACTGTGATGACGAGTGCCACTTGGCCAATGGGTGTGCGCCGCTTGGCACAGTCTTACATGGTGGATCCTATTCAGGTCTATGTCGGCACGCTAGATTTAGCTGCTACTCACACAGTCACGCAGATCATTGAAATAATGCCCGACGATGACGAGGCAAAATTCTCTGCGGTAAATAAAGAACGCTAAAATGTTTTAGTATATTTTTTTATTGTTTTGTTTTTGTAGTTCATGGAATTCGCTCACAATTTGGATCCGACAGAGAAGGTTATAGTATTCTGTGGCAAAAAATCTCGTGCGGATGAATTATCGTCAGAATTGGTTCTGCAAGGAATTCAGTGTCAAACAATTCATGGTGATCGCGAACAGAGTGATCGAGAGCAGGCTCTAATTGATATAGCAGATGGGACAGTACAAATACTTATAGCTACAGATGTCGCTTCTCGTGGGTTGGATATAGACGATATTACGTATGTACTTAAATGATCTGTTATAAAACCTAGCTATAATATAGTAGTAGTGAGCATCAGTTCATAATTTATTCATTTCAGATACGTCATTAACTACGACTTCCCGCGAAACATTGAAGAATACGTGCATCGAGTCGGTCGAACCGGTAGGGCAGGAAAATCTGGAAAGTCCATAAGTTACGTAACCAGAGGCGATTGGGCCCAAGCTAAAGATCTGATCGCTATTTTGGAGGAAGCACAACAGTATGTTCCCGAAGAAGTATACAAGATGGCCGAACGCTACACCGTGTGGAAAGAGAAGAAGGATTCTTCGCGGCCAGCTGTCCGTGGAAGAGGTGGGGGAAGGAGATGGTAGATCATTCCATTTAACAAAGAATCTCAGTATTCCAGTATTTTTGATGACATTAGCTGATTAGATTTTTTTTTATTTGACACATTAAAGTTTTCATTATGTCAATCGTTGAGCTTTCATTTTTTGTGTTTTTTTCTCAATATGGTGCAGTGAAGGGATTCTATACAAACTTATTAAAACCCGAACGAGCAAATAGACACTGCCACGACTCATCGGCGCCGATTCCTTCTGTGTTGCCGTCCGAAGAAAGCAAATTTAGCTTGTGTCTGATATTAATTTCAGGGCTACTATTTTTTCTTCTATTTTTGGGTATCTCATTCAGGGTACAAATTCGTAAGTTAGTGATTACGTTCTAGGAGCGATAAAAGGCTTAATTGGATTGTTCTGCTGGGACAAAATTGGGATGTATGGGTTGAATTTATTGATTGAGCTGCCGCGGCCATTGTCTCGGTATCAGGAAAAAAGCTTAGAACATCGACCTGTGGTGTACGACATCGGCGGTTGGCCCATTCATCCTGATTCTCTGGAAAGGACTGTTAGAGTCTTACCAAAGTAAAAAATTTTCATTTATTCACAAGAATACAAACGCTTACTTCAGGAGAACTGAATTCTGCTTGAACTTAGTATTTTTCTTGGCGTATCCTTTGGCAGCATGTGTTTACGTATGCGCATTTTGTTGTTGCATACGAAATTTGAGCAAATCGAAAGAAAATGCTTGTTTTAAACACGTCGACGTTGTTCGACTAACGCAAGGAAAAAATGTATGAATCGCTTTTACTGAGCTTATTATCATTTTCCGCTTTTAGCAACAAGTTAAAACAAACGGAGCTGCAAATGTGGGTGTTTATAAAGAAGACTATAAAGAAGAGCAAGACACAAAGTATGTTATAGAGACAATGAAGAAAAGTAAAGAATCGATTCACGAATACCGCAACAGCATGTGTGAATGTGATGAATAAAATTTTGTAAACTTTCAGTACTGTGGATCTGTTTGTTACCTTTAAAACAGTGATTTCGTGCTGACAGAGTTTTTAGTTTAGATCAAGGGTAAGGAATTAAAAAAAAAATGCATACATCCATCGTCACTCATTACTCAATTATGCTAAACATTTAACGACTAACTACATTTTCGGAATATTATAAATTCAAATCATTGGAAGAGTATTTCTGGCTAATAAACACCAATGTTGTTAAAATAACCATAATTATTGTGTCTCGTGAAATATTCTGCAAAATTTTAATCAAAATCCGTATTTTCGCTGGAAATTTTTGACATTTCATGTTTACTTGCATACAAACAGCTTCGTAATTTGGATTACTGACACTGTCAGCCAAATTAAAGCCTAAGTCTTGCGACACCATGAAATTTTGTTTTCTCGACATTTCATAACCCTTAGAGTATGAAAAAGTAGGTCCTTCGCTTTCGTCTGTCGTCTGTTGACCATTTTATTCTCCTAATCTCAGAAATTACTGGGCTGATACTAGTGAAATTCATGTGTTTTAGAAATTCCGGGTGCAAACCAAAACTTCTTTGGTTTTAATAACATCATTGGTCTTTTATTTTTGAAAGAATTTGAAAAAATCTCGGGACTGATGTATTTTGTTGTTGAAAGCGTTTGAAAGAATCCTCATGTCTTTTTTTAAAAATGTGAAGGAATCTTAGGGCTCTTTGTGTTCTAAAAGAATTTTAAAAAAATGTCATGACCTGTGATGTTTTGTTTTTGGTTTGTATTTTACTTTTAGAATGTTAAACAATCTTCGAACTTCATTTTGTGTTTTGTTCTTGAATGAGTCTGAAAGCATGTTGTTGACGACTCCTATTCTCCTTTTTCTATTAAATTAAAGACGATGTTATAACCAAAAAAAAAAACATTCCCAAAATGATAAATATAACAGCTAATCTGAAATAATGAATTAAATCCCATTATTAAAATACACTTTATCACAAAATTCAGAAAATTGGTTGGTTATTTCGACTAAAGTACAGTCGAACAAATACAACTTTGAAAAATTGTTGTCAACTTTAACTTTGAAAATTCTTTTTTTTTTCATCTTTATAGTCAGTTTTTCCATATAATTTTTTTTTGATAACATCATTAACATTTTAGCAAGGGCACATATATCAATTTAGAGTTTTGGCACCCTTAGAATCTTCGAAATCTTTGAAATTCAGAGAAGACTTTCACACTATTTGGAATATTTTCACAAATTCAGTAAAATGTTCAGAATTTCTAGAATCGAGTAAATTTTTGGAATTTTCAGAAGTTCCAGATTTTCTAAATGTTGTAAAAATATCAGTCTTCTGATATGCCAGAATTCAATCATTTTTCGCAGTTTTCATGATTTCTAGATCTTTCAGATTTTTCACACTTTCTAGATATTTCCAGATGTTGTAAAATTAATAGACCCCAAGAGTCTTTAAATCTTTGAAATTTCTGGAATCTCTGAGATGTATAAGATAATAATTAAGGTGTTCAAGACCCCTATAATACTTGTGGGTTTGATAAAAATTAAAGAAACATTCTTCAGATTTTTACGATTTTTAGATTTTTAGGAGATTTGTTTAGAGTTTTTGAAATCTTTAAAATTTTTGTCATGCGTTTTTTACAAATTATAGAATCTTTGAAATATTTGGAACAGAATTTTAAAAACCTTTTTAACGTTTGAATCCTTAGAATATTTAGAATTTTTATAATTTGTAGGAACATTAATACTTCCAAGATCTTTACAATTTTTAAGATTTTGTTGGATGTTTCTTCTATTTAGAACCTAAAACTTTAGTTTATTTGGTATCTTTGGTGCCTTTACAATTCGCAAATTCTAGTGTATGAAAAATTTAAGATTTTTAGAATGTGTCGAGTGTTTCGAAGTTTTGAAAGGTTTGAAACCTTTTAAATATTTCAAACATTTGGAAATTTTGAAATTTAACATTTTTACTTTCCGAGCGTAAGCAAAGGAAGTATTGTAATCGAGTCCGTCAGCTGACTCTCTACTTTTACGTTTTCTCGATCTTGCATGACCCTTAGAGGATGAAGAAATAGGTCTCCCGTTTCCGTCTGTCTGCCGTCCTTGGATTTTTATTAAACAGATAATCTCCGAAACTACTGGACCGATTGTTGCGAAATTTTATACTTATATTAAGAATATCATGTAGATTGTAAAACGCTAACCAAAATTTGTCTAATCATCCCCACCACTATTACGATGACGTCATTTCAAAATTGTACATAGTAAATGGGCTTTAAATTGTATGAAATAACATAGTCCTACACATGTAGTTTATGACTCCGAATTGAGTTTTTACCCGAACCGTCCAGATTTTTGGAAAAAAAATGAAAATTGAAGCAACATTTTGCCATTTAATTTTGAAAAAAATTGATGACGTCAGCTCAAAAGTTTGCCGAATAAATCCTATCTAAAATGTACAAAATATGATGTACCTGTACTTGTGATTTATCATTCCATTCATATTTTTTGGATTTGTATATACAGGTGACTCAAAAAATTAATGAATGCGTAAATTTTGTTTATTTAATCACAAACTACAAAACCGAATGCTTTGAAATCTTGGAGATGTTTTAAAGTTATCTTAGGCATGGTAAATTTTTAGTCAAAATGTATTTGCTCTCCTCTCCTCTAAAAAATTGATGACGTCACCTCAAAATTTTGCTGAATAAATCCTATCTTAATGTGCAAAATATGATGAGTCTGTAGGTGATTCCATTCATATTTTTTGGATTTGCATATACAGGGTCACTCAAAAAAATTAATGAATGCGTGAATTTAATTTATTGCTTTAATTAATCAAGAATTGCCAACTGAATACTTTGAAATCTTGCAGACGTTTTAATGTCATTGTAAGCATGGTAAATTGTTAATCAAAATAAATTTGTTTATTTCCCCAAAAAAATTGATGACGTTATCTCAAAATTTTGGCGAATACATTCTACCCAAAATGTGCAAAATATGATGAGTTTTTACTTGTAATTCATCATAGCATTTATATTTTTTAATGATCAAATTAAGAACGAGTCATCCCATTTTCTCGAAAATGTGAAAATACAAACATATTTGTTTTACAAGAATTATAATAATGATATTCAGAACATTTTGTCGATTGAAGCTTACTAGTTGATTGTTTTGATCCTCTGTTATGAGGGGACGAACTCATTCAAATCAAACTAATTTCTACGTGACATTCTTCCAATGTATAAACATAAACACTTGTTTTTCTTATCGAGTATAACTTAAGGACGTACAGTAATGGAATCCATTGGACAATTTGTTACTTTCAAATTTTCTCGATATTTCATAGGGGGAGGCTAGAGGATGCTCCAGCCTAGATCTAGACAAGTTATAATTAACCAAATGTGAATTACACCATCCAAAAACCGAAAAAATGTAGTGTTTTATTCAATAAACGGAAGTCAGAGCAATAAAAAAGTCTGGACCGTCGGCATTGTTGTCCAGTTATTCCAATTCGTAGAAAACATGTTTTAGTTTAGTTTGTGTTTCACCGTCACGTCTACAGATTGATAAGTGTTATGGCTATTTGTTTTAAATTACAAGTACTATACAGGGTGTTCCTTTTATCTGATCACGCCTGACAATTTTTGCATAGGCAACATATTATACACCTCAGAGACGACTTTTTTTAATAAGCAGTCATAGCAATCACAAAAAAAATGACAAAGATGTCAATGCCAAATAATGACAAAATTGGAACTCAATTTATTTTAAAATGCCCCGCTACAAAAATGTAATACGAAAAAAGACATAAGTCGTCACGTTTCCGACGGCGAGGGAAGTACTGTCTAAACTCTTTAGACCAATTTTTTTATTTTCTTTTAATTTTTGGGAATTTTCGTAATTTGCAAAATTTTCAAAACTTCCAGTATGTTCAGATTTTCCAAATTAGCCCAATTTTTCAGATTTTCTGAAGTACACAAAATGACCAGAATTTGAAAGTCAACCTTTTCCAATATTTTCGAGATTTCTAGGTCTACCACACTTTTAAATTTTTTCAGATTTTCTAAAATTTATAGATCTCAGAAGTGTAAATCTTTGGAATTTTCAGAATCTCTTGAATCTTTACTCTCTAAGATTTATAAAATAATAATTAAGGTGTTCAAGGCCTTCAGTGCTTTTAGGATTTATAAAAATTAAAGATTTTTGTTTTCTTTAAAGTTTTTGGAATTTTTAAAATATTTGGTATTTTACGAGTTTACGCGATTTTTACAAGTTTTAGAATCTTTGGCTTCTTGGAATTTCTCTAGAACCTTTAGAATCTTTCAAGGATTCGAAACAGAATTTTAGCTTTTGACCACTTAGAGTCCTTAAGAGTCTTTCGACCTTTTAAAGCCTTTCCAATACATGGAAATTTTGAACACTTTGGGAATTACTACGAGTTTGATAAAGCCTAAAATTTCTGCAATTTCTAGGATCAAGGTTCTTTAAAATTTTTAAGATTTTGTTCGATCTTTTTTATATTTGGAGCATTAGAACTTTGTCTTTACAATTCTTTTTGAATCTTTCAAACCACTGGAAACTTTGGAATCTCTAGAATCTAGGATTTCTATAATCTTTAGAGATTACAAATTTTCATTATTTTTAGATACTTCAGTATCTCTAGAATTTTAAAGATTTTTAGATCTTTCGGATTTTTATCATCTTTTTAATTTTTAAATGTCTGGAATCTGTGGAATCCGGAATATTTGGAATCCCTGAAATCCCGTTAGAATTTTTAAATTGCCGGCTTCTCTAGCTTTTTTATTTTTTTTAAATTCCTGAAATCCTTGTATAGTCCTTAGGGTTTTTGGCATACTTGAAACCCTTAAAACCTTTGAAAGGGTTAGAATATTTGGGACTTGCACAACATCTGGAATCTTTTCACAAATTCGGTCAGAATTTTAGAATGTCTGTAATTTCTAGAAATGACCATATTTTACATCGTCGTTAATGCAGTGATAAATCACAGTATAGACTTACATATTTTACACATTTTCGGCAGGATTTATTCGGCAAAATTTTGAGATGACGTCATTAATTTTTTGGAAGGGGCTAAACGAATACATTTTGCTTAAGGATTTACCATGATTACGATAGCCTTAAAATATTTACAAAATCTAGTTTTGATTTTTTTTTCCAAAAATTCTGGATGTCTAGGGTGATAATTCGACACGGATTCACACACCACAAGTGCAGGCATATCTTATTTTGTGAAATTAAAAAAAACTTTATTTTAAATGTTGGAGATGACGCCATCCCAAATGGATACAGACCCCAGACAGACAGACGGAAGGGGGAGACCACTTTTTTCGTACTCTAGAGATCATGACACGTCGAGAAAATATGAAAGTGGCAATTTGGCCGATGGACTCGATTACAATACTTCCTTAGCTTACGCTCGGGAAGTAATATAAAGAAGTAGAAAGTTCACAGAGAAAATCTTATTGACAAATTATGTTCACAGGCTTTTTGTATGCCAATTTACATTCTTTTGTTAAACTGAGCTCTATTATAAACAACTATAATTAAAATTAGCCCATCCGGTAACTATATCAATGAGAATTAATTGAAATTTCACTAATATATCGTTTCAGGTTTTACTATTGTTATTAACCTAGGTTTTGCAGGTCATTTTAACATTAATAATTTTATTAAGTAGTTAAAGACAAAAAATAAAAACATATCAATCAAATAAATCTTGACATGTGTATGATGATGAATCTCCGATAAGGAAGTTGTTTTTAAAATTTTAGAGATATTAGATGCATTATCTGCGGTAATAATGTGATAATAATGATTGTGACTGATGGGTTTCGTCAACATTATCAGGACCAAGGAGGTTTAAATATATTTAGTAAATGTAAACCCTTTGTTGAATAAATGTGCTATTTAGGGTAATAAAATTGGCCACATTAAAGATTTAAAAAAAGATAGATGTGAGAATTTAGGTAACACAACTACTTAATTTAAAAAAGTTAAGTTATATCTTTAGAAGCTACTTTTCAATATTTATGACCTTGCATTTAAGACATTTCTTTCTTGAAACAAATGTGACTGTTTATTACTTAAATGATTCACTGAAAATTGACCCCTGTTTAGTTCAACATGAATTTAGATTCAAATTTGGAGCCAACTTCATCCCCGTTCATGCAATCGCGCTGGTTTGATTTAAGAACTCCCCATGAAAAAACTTACGAATGTGAGAAATAATAAGTGTCACTAAATAATAATAATAAAAAAAAAACATTTTCAAATTTTATTACACGCCTTCTGGTATTATTAACGTACTCGTATCACACAAAATTTGAATTCTAGAAAAATAATATAACTATTATGTAAAAAATAAACATCTACAATCTACTTGAACAATTACTTTGCAAAAAATAGCATTTATACTTATTTAATTGAAAAAAATAAATAATGCAACTCTGCAATTCTCCAGTCAATTTGGAATCCCACAAAACTCTTCATTTGGTTAACACTTTCATAATCTCTATCATTGCAATATTTTTGTCTTTTTCAGTCTTTTTAGCAAGCATAGCAGCAACCAACTCCCCAAACATGGATTCAGGACTTTTCTGCATCACATCTTCAATTTTCTCCCTTTTTTCCAAAGAAGTATCACTATTAGCATCACTAGCAGATCTTTTTCTGCCTGAACTACTTGTACCAGAATCGTAGCAACTATCCCGTACCTCGTCGCACCCTAAATCTTCACTCTTCACAGAAACATTAAGGTCATTTGAAGATGAATCGTGAATAGAATTGTCATCATAAATGTCATTCGACGAATTATATCTAAATTGGTAGCTTGGCTCCGGCAAGGGGTTCAGCGATCTGTAACTAATCTCAGGATCGAAATTTTTCCGCCTGTATTGAATCACTTTATCTAGGAACGACATGTCATCTAAAAATTCCCACTTTCCATCTCCTTCTTGATATTTATTTTTTTGTCGGATGTATTTCTCTCTGAGTCCTTTCCACCGCATCATACACACATTAACGTCTTTATTCATAGCTTGAGCGATACCTTTCCACAACTGGAACTTCACCTGTTTGCTAGGATAACCATTGCTCTTCCGATCCCAAATCGGACTGGCTTTTTTCACCAACGTGATCAATGTTTTATCAAAATCACTATAATTTTCCGCTACCTGCGCGAAAAATGAATCATCGGATAAATTTAATTTACAATCTTCTAGCGTTTTTGAAGACTCGCTCTCGTAATTGAGAGACTGCTTCCGAAGGATGATGTGTGGATCGAGAAATGATAAAGTTTCCAAGTGTTGCCAAGGCATATATTTTTCCCCAAACATGGATTGCTTTTCCCTTTCTCTGACATATTTTTCTCTTAAACTTTTAAACGTATCCTTTGCCGACGCCGCTGCAAATAGCCAGAATTAATTATTTAATTATGGTAATTAATTAATTAATTTTCTAACCTGGACAACCCATGACTTCGCCGATACGTTGCCATGCTTCATTTTTGAGGTTCTGTTCCCTAAAGGTGGCACAGTTTCGATCCCACACTTGAGGAAACTGCTTGATAACTCCAATAAATTTTGCTTGGTCCATAGCCTTCTAATTTTGAGGTTAGGTAACGTAATTGCACAAAACGTAAGAGAATACAGATTGTCGCAGAAATTCCGCGGTTTTTGGGGTTTGATTTCGTGAATTTGAGTCTCACATCGTGCTTGCGGCGTTGACAACGCGTTACTGATTGCAATTTTGTCGATACAGCTACGCCAAGTTAATTAGATTCCATTAAATTAAGGAATGGTTGGACCTGCCTTCTCTCTCTGGTTCAAGACGTGCGTATTGTTGCGTCCTTGTCGCACAGATAATTAGTAATTTATCTCCTCCCATTCGTTTACTTTATTGTAATTAACTTTATTAACTTTGTTTTGTGGACCTTGAAATCAATGGGAAAAACGATGTAATTTTTAAATAGTTTGTGGGAAATGGCAGCTGGCTTCTTTATTAAATCATTTTTGCTAAATATTGATATCACAAAATACGTTATTTTTTCCGTTTAAACTATTTTCGTTAAACGTAATAAACACTTTTGACCTTGCCTAAATGAAGTGGCGCATACTTTAACGTCTAAAAAAGTGATAATACTTGGTTGTTTGATTCATGATGTCTAAATTTGATAACATCTTTACAGCGAATAGGTTTCTATTGTATCTAAATATCGGCCGAATAAAAACAAAGAAAAATGAACTAAGACCGAAGTTTTACTGGTTGTGGTTCTGAAAAAAAGCTTTCGGTGATGCCAGTTTTTTTTTAATTCAATAACTATTTGTCTTTTTTTACTTTGATAAATTTCATAAATTTTGTAATCACTGTGCTGCGATTTTAAGTTGCTGTTAATTTTATGTCGATGTAACTTTGTATTTCCCTTTAAAATGAATTGAAAATTTCGGGAAAAAAATGTATCCACAGCTAGTAGTTGAAATAATAAGTCCTTCACATGAGCGTTTCAGCGGTTTATCGTCTTGATTGAAAAATTGTAAAAGAAGAAAGAATCTGGGTAGAACACTCGATTTTGAAATCAATAAATAATTTCAAAGATCGCGCCGTTCACTCGCAGGCTAGCCGATTGGAGGTTTCCTCAGGTCACATGAACTCTTCCGTGCCACCAGCAACAAATGGTGTACCCTAGCAACCGATCGTTACAACAGATTGGCTAACCTGAACACAGTGTCATTTCCCGCTTTATTTATCAAAAGTTTTCGTAGAAAATTTCGGGAAAAACCGCACCACTGGAAAAGAAAACATTATAGTGACCGTGTTTAGCTCCTAACCTCACCGGCAAAAGTTAGTGATCTGCGTTTAATCCATGAATTTTTGCGAACAAAGTGGTGAAATTACCGCATCAGTTACGGTCGTGCATTGGTAAGCTATTTAAGATTTTTTGGTCGATTTTCCATCGTAAAATCTCATCTCAAAGCGTAAAAACTGGCGTACAAGTTTTAATTGGGCAATTAACGTTTTTTCTGTGTAAGTGCAACCGTGTCCTTGCTGTTTCCGCCGCTTTCCACCAAAACGCGCCAAGGAATCGCAATCATAATATTTTTTTTGGACGATAGCCCGCGGTCAAACCGTTGTTCGGTTAAATACAAAAGTTTTGCCACCATTTTTTCTTCCTTTCTCGTTTCGCATGAACGACCGCGGCAACGTCAATACGTCCATGTCTTCGTCTCTTTCGGGTGGGTGTGGTAGAAGGAGACGGAGATATCGACGGGGTTTCTGGAATCGTCGCACTTGCGCAAACGACTTAAAACTTTTCTCAGAAAGTTTTCAAGGCTGTTCCATCCTTCAGCGGCCATTGTTGGAATCTGTCGAAGACGCTTGGGTTTTGTGATCGAGTGCTGAGTGTCGCGAGTGAGTTTGCTGCCAACAGGCCGCCGCCGAGGCCTCCAGAAGCCGCCGGCCGCCGCCTCCAACCTGTTGCTTCGCCCCGATGGCGCCTGGCCGCGTGCGGCGCACTCCTGAACTCTATTCCCTTGTTCTCGAAGTGTAAACAACCTCTACTGCACTGATTTCCAATTTTTGTTTGTGAACTAACGCATTCGGGAGGTTAATAGCTGTTAACCTCTTTGTTACCCCACAATTTAGTTATCGGCTGCTTTAGTCACTTTATCGGTATTTTTTCTTAACCTTTTGTTTTTCAGGAGAACGATTTTGATCCGTTCTTGATGAGTTTGGGTCTAGTGGCACGGTATTCTCGACTTCGTGACTAGATCCACACTCATTAAGGAAGTTTCATCCCGCTACCAACGCAACAAGTTTCGTTCGAAGATATGAAGACATGAAAACGCTGTGTTGGCGATTGTGGGTTTAGTCCACGTTTAATTCATCCGTGACTAGATCCATACTCGTCTATAAAGGTTTTCAGTGCCACCAGGAGCTCCACTAACTCGACGTTTAATACTCGAAAATGATGCTTAAACATGTTCGGAAGTCTTTTGTCCGTTTGTAAACTTTCCGTTCAACTGTGGGCTTGTGCTGTATTTGAATGAAATTTATCGAATAAAAGTTGGGTCTGCGTATCAATGAATTATATTTTGTTTGAGAAATTTTGAAAGTTTAAGAAGTGACCAGTTGGTAATTTTTTAGACGCTGCAGCATTTTTCAATTTGGTTGGTATTGCTGATGCAAAGGCGATTTGATTTACTCCATTTTGACACATCAGTCGTGAGTGTAATCGATTTTGAAAAATACCACAAACGAGTTAATTTTTGCTTGATGCTACAGAATATCTTACATGGTGTCCAGTACAGTAGATAACATCCGGAATTTGATTATCCGGGTGCCTATCTGGTGAAAGGTGATATTGTAGTGTTGGTATGTCAGACTTGCAAAACCAGTGGCGGAGCTACTTTTAGATTTATAGGGTGGGTTATCAGTTGAGATCTTAAAATTTTATTCAAAAACTCCGGTCAGGATAGGTCAACCATAATTTTTAGTTTTTTCTTGATTAAACTTTTAAATTTATATGGCATTTAATTAAAAATTATTCCTATCTACTAAACTGATTTCATAAATTTATAAATTTCAAATTCAAGTTTTATTCTCGGTAAAATTTCTTTGTTTTTTGACGTGCTAAATTCAACAAAAAATTCCACCACGTCTGATTCATGACTGGCCATAAGAGCCATACATTTTCAACAATCTTGCTAAGAATTTTTTATTGAACTGAATGAATTTTTATTTTATTGGTCATATACAGGACAATGTCATAAATATACTATTATATGGGAACTTTTTGAATTTTCTGATTGAGGATGCAAATTTCTTTCCAAAAAGTTTATTCGTTCAAAGTATAGCGTTACTGTAGCCATTTGATTTATTCTGACGTGATTTTAAGTCGCCGTTAAAATACCATTTTATCCCACAGAATTTTGCCGTGACAATTTTATCGCTATAAATTACAGAATAGTTCTAGAAAGTATAAATATGACGTTTATTTTGACATCAAAATGTTTTAAATTTTTTACTTTCCGAGCGTAAGCAAAGAAAGTATTGTAATCGAGTTCGTCGACCGACTCTTTTCTTTTACATTTTCTCGACCTTTCATGACCCCTACAGTATGAAGAAATACGTCTCCCGTTTCCTTCGGTCTGTCGAGGCCGATTGTTCTCAGATTTTGTATTTATGTTAAGAATATCATGTAAATGGTAGAACGCTAACCAAAATTTGTCTAATCATCCCCACCAATAATGTGATGACGTCATTGTACACAGTAAATGGGTTTCAAATTGTATAAAATAACATAGTGCTACACATGTAGTTTATGAAATTTTTGGAAAAAAATCAAATGAGGGAAGAGTCTGAAGTTTGTGAATTTGAAATGAACAGAAAGGTCGGTAGAAAGCGGTGAAAACAGTTATGTCTAAAGGGTTCTTGGAAGGTATTCGAAATCTGGAAAAGGATAAGTATTACTGACAAGGGTGAACAAAAGATAGGTTTTACGATTTACGACATGCAGGTGGACGGAGAGAAAGTTTCGGAGTAATACTGGTTGGAAGTAATTAAATACAGATTATATACAAATATACAATTTTGTGATTTCATTTTGAATCTGCTAAACCGAATGCGTTGAAATCTTGCAGATATTTTAAGGTTACGATACGCATGATAAATTTTTCATGAAAATATTTCTGCTTATACTCTCCAAAAAATTGATGACGTCAGCTCAAAATGTTGCCGAAAAAATCCCATCTAAAACGTACAAAATATGAGTCTCTACTTGTGATTTATCATTCCATTAATATTGTTTGGAAATACAGGTGACTCAAAAAAAAAATCATTGTATTTGAGGAGCGAGAGAAGTTCTGTCGAAACAACTTTCGACCTTAGATCATATAATAATTTATTATATGATCTAAGCTTTCGAACAATTTTTTTTATTTATACGTTCTAACATTCTGCAGGTTTTGGAAAGAAATGTCTATCTCGTAAAAATTCTTTTTTTGTCATTTATCCTCATTCATCATACAAATCCTCATCTTGCATACAAATGTTTAGTAATTATTGTTCACCAAGCTGTTGGTAACTAGAACAGCAATTTTTGTTACCTTTTTCAGATAATAATTAATTTATTATATGTAGATATATGATTTTTAGTTAAAAAAAAAAAACACAATAAGGAGAGGACAAACTTGTAACTTGTAATTCTATTAAATAAATTAGTCGAAACAAAAAAACCGGTTTTATTTCAAGGAAAAACAAACCGGAGCATTAAAATTTTTTTTACTTGTCTAACCCGGACCATGGCCGACTAGTATAAAGATTATGGCCTGTCCAAGAGGTACCATACGTGTTGCCACCTATTAATAATTACACTTAATAATTTTGACAAATTTTAATTTGATTTGACATTATGAGACTTCAAAACGTGTAATGGTGGTTTGTTTCGGTATGAATGCGTTTGTGCCTTTCAAAAAATGTTAATAATTTTGTCGTTTTTGAATTATTAATAGATGGCAGCACGTATGGTATCTATTGGACAGGCCATAATCTTTACTAGTCGGCCATGCCCGGACTTGCTGTTGGTGACGCCACTGGTGAAGGCAACGACAGTTGTTGACATGTGACTTAACCTCAATTAACAACAAGGGGGCTGTGATGGTGTAACAATCGAATTATGTTTCTGCGTTACAGCGTAGACAGAATTGTTAGATCCGTAAAACAGTGTTATAGTACGAAAACCAAGTTAGCGACCCTCACAAACACCGAACGAGTGAAATTCTTACGTCAAATGGCGTTACCAAAAAGCCGTGAAGATCCAGTTATTCTGAAACTAGACACTCCTGATTTCCACTCTCTTTTCACCGATGAGTTGAAATCGCTAGCTTCACTTTTTAAAGAATATGGTTACGAAGTACGAATTGCTGGAGGTGCGGTTCGAGACTTGCTGTCGG